TCTCTCTCTCTCTCCCCCTCTCTCTCTCTCTCTTCCTCCTTCAATTCCCCGCCACGCCTTTAGAAGATTGATGCATTTCTAGGTCAGACCAGCTACTAGACAGCTTCGGATCTGTAATATGTACATCAGTTTGCTGATTGGAGGATGCGTGTGAATATGTAATAGACGATGCTTTACAGGTGAAAAGTTGTTCCCGCATCCGATCCGGACATTGGGGATTGCCTTGTCAGTGAGACAACTTCCGGGGCCTTCGGCATATTGTTGTAGGGTGGCCAGTTCCTTTCCACGCCGCCTTCACTCCCCCAACTCGGAGTCAGGTACCCATTACTGCTGGGTGGGCAAGAGGGGGAGAAAAAAAATCAGTGCTCGAACCGAGGCTCGAATCCGGACTTTCCGCTTCGGAGACGAGCGCACTAACCGCTCCGCCACCACACTCTCTGCTTTACCGGCATCTTGTATTAATACTTCGTTTACGGTGTTTGAATGTGTCCACTTCTGCACTTTTACACACAATCATGCGGACGGCGTCTCTGGTGTAGCAATTAGGCGCTTAGCTGTCGCACGTGGGAGACTTGATTTCGAATCCAGGGTGGGGAGAAAATTTGACAGAGTATCTCGAGGCCTATTTTTGTTGTTGCTGGGATGTTGTATCTCTCTTAGGGAGAGCAGAGTGTCCGCCTCCTGGGCTATCTAAATTGCGTCGAAGGGGGCATAAAAATGCCTACTTAGAAAAAAAATATGACGGACACTACAAAGACACACTTGCGAGCACATAAAACACTGACTCGAACACATCTTTAATTTACCAAAGAGCAACCCCTAGGTAAAGGAGCTAAAAATATTGTTTCTCATGTTCTGAAGAAAACACACACACATATACACATACACACACATACAGACACAAACAAACAAACACACACACAAACACATACACGTACAAACACATCACACATCATCACAAAGAAACCCCCCTCTCTACAGCTAAGTCCGCAACTGCCGCAAACATTTTGGTGAGAAAACTTCGCCGGCCCTAAAGTTTTAATATAGGATCAATTAGCCTTCACTGCTCATTAGGGGCACTTTTTTCGGTAAATCTATTACTCTACAGGACATCCAGAATCTTATATGGTCGCTTTTAAGCACAAGGGGGCTATCCCCAAAAATGCTGTTTTGAGAAAATCGAAGGTAAAGTTTTTTGTTCAGTTTCTTTAAAAGACAAGGAGAGTTTTCTCTATATCCATAAATATACACACCAATGATACTAAACGTCTCCTATAGGTACGGCAATGTCCACTTATGGCGTAGGTCAAGAATTCT